TGTTATTGTGTATGACATCATAGTTGTATGCTAATACTATTTCTCTCATTCAATATCCTTATAATCTATTAGCATAGTTATAGTATATATTGTATTTCGTTTTGTTAGATAGGATTGGTTCTTTCTTCACCTTTCCTAATTGTTCTAACATTTCTCTCAAGGTATGTTCTATTACTTTATGCAATAGTACCTTTCCTAATTGTTCTAACATTTCTCTCAAGCTGTGAAAATCAATCTTATCAGGTTATGAGCCCATCTCACATTTCCATATAAGAAAATCATAGCTCGAAGAACGGTTTTGAAAACGATCGATTTTCAAAAACCATCTAGAAAACCTCAGGAAAGGTCCGTCTGTACTGCCAGACGATAAACTCAGTTCGAATCAACAATATTCTCCGAAAACTCAAACGATACTCTTCGAATAAGTATATTCGGAGATCTAGTTTACCACTTCAAACTTTCTTTTTTTGTTATTAAACTTCCAATCGACAAACAATCAATATGTCTGTACCTTTGGCCACTGCTGGAGATAGTCATAGAACTAGTCTACCATCATCGTCATCTATTTCGCCAAACATAACTCGTTCAAAAATGCCACGAACTGATTCATCTCGAACTGAAATTAAACCATCAACTGGTCTCACTTACAATCACGAACGATTGGAGGCAACTGGTGTTAAACCACTCGAAGCGCCTGGTGAGAATTCAAACTATCATCATTGGCAATTCGTGATGGGTACCATCATTCGAGGATCCGCATATGGATACGTTTTACGAGATGTTCAGCCAGATCCTCTTCCGTCTACTGAAGAACACAATAGATGCAAAGTATCTGCTCTATTACTTCAATATGTTGATCAAGCGAACTACGAGTTTTTATCTCCTCACCAAGACGATCCAAAGAGTCAATGGAACGCTTTGCGCGAAGCGCATCAGGATGCGTCATCCGGCTCTATCATGTTCTGGTTAAAGAAGCTCGTGACGGCGAAAATGGGTGATTCAAACATCTTAACTCATCTGGATTCGATGTCCGCCGATTATCAAAGGTTCAAGGCGTTGGTTACACCTGAGAAACCACTCACTGCTGATACAGTGTTTGCTACTGCTGTTAGTTTGTCACTCACATCTGACTGGCAGCCAGTTCTAGCTCCGCTACTTCAACGTGATACAGTCACTTCAACTACAATCTTGAAGGTATTACGTGAAGAGGCAACTCGAAGATCGATGTCATCAGAAACGATCGAGATTGTTTCAGCTGCTAAGAATTCGAGTTTCAAAGAGAAGATTTGCTCACACTGTGGTAAATCGAACCATCTAATCGACAACTGTCGCATTTTGAAATCTCTGATCGATAAGTATAAAGTACTGAAAGCCGAAAAAGCTGAGTCTGAACGTCCAAAGCCGCCTACCAAGAGTGCAATCAAACGTGCGAAAGCGGCGAAGTCAGCAGCTTCTAACACTACAAGAAAGATAATATTTTCTGGGCAGAAAATTAAATTATTGATACACAAAAATATTGAGAGGCCAGGAGGAGAGCAAAAAATGAATAAAAATATGCATCTTGTTCCCTGCATTGGGAACTTCACTCTGCATATTTTTCCGTATTTTTACAGTCCATATTGATAAGTGTACTAACAATAAACCTTCACAATCATCCAATTACAACCTGTAACAAGCACTGAAATTTGGCTCATTAGTGTTTAGAGAAACTTTTGATTTCTGAAAATACTCATAACTTTTTCAATTCTGGTCCAAAACGCTCGATTTTGGGTGCATTGGTAAGCTGGAATTGTCCTCCAAATAGCTCATAATAGAACCACACAGCATGCTGGTCTGCTGAAAAAGATATCATCTTTTTTATACATTTGTACATACAGATCCATAGAATGATTGGCATACTAGCTACATAGTTCTTGATCTTATGAAAGTTTGAGAGGAAGAGTTCAGCTTTCTAATGCACTTAAAATCGAGTGTTTTGATGCAGATTTGACAAAGTTATAGGTGTTTTCAGGTATCAAAAGTTTCTCTAAACACTAATGAGCCAAATTTCAGTGCTTGTTACAGGTTGTAATTGGATGATTATGAAGGTTTATTGTTAGTACACTAATCAATACGGACTGTAAAAATATGGAAAAATATGGAGAGTGAAGCTCTCACCGCAGGGAACAAGATGCATATTTTTATTTATTTTTTGCCCTTCTCCTGGCCTCTCAATATTTTTGTGTATCAATAATTTAATTTTCTGCCCAGAAAATATTATATTTTGTGTAGTGTAAAGCAGCATCAGCTTCTCTCATTGATTTGGATTCTGATAAATCAATCGATATCAATTCCGAGATTTCAGCAGCAGCAACTGTGAAAGCGACTTCTGGAAAGACGAACAGCTGGCTAGTGGATTCGGGTACTTCACAAATCATGACTCCTGTTTCTGAAATTCTTATCAACAAGAAACCTGACGAGTCGATACTACGATCAGTCTGGCAAATGGATCTATCGTGAAAGCTACTTCTAAAGGAATGATGGCTTTACCTTTTCATAACTTCGACAACATCAAGTCTCTTTACGTTCCATCGTTATCAGAACCCCTCTTATCAGTTTCTAAACTTGCTGATAAAGACATAAGTACTGTTTTCAATCGAACTGGAGTATCTTTTGTTAAGAAATGCAAGGTTTCAGGGGATGTAGTAGCTAGAGGAGAACGCAAAGGAAACTTATACTACCTTGATCATGAGGTAAGTAAAGTAGAATCCTTTGACAAATCTTCAAAAGCTTCTGTCTCTGATGTTGATCTCTGGCATCGACGATTTAATCATCCAGGATACGCTGCTTTAAAAAGAAAATTGTCATTGTTGAAACTGAATGTTGATGAAGCTGAACTTAAGAAGTTACAAACTTGTAACATCTGTATTCAGGGGAAGATGAGACGTAGAAATATGTCGAGTCGGGCAGGTTGGAGATCAAAAAGTCCATTAGCAGTAATTCATTCAGATGTATCATCTTATTCAATTGTATCTCGTCAAGGTTTTAAATATTTTGTAACATTTATTGATGACTTTACGAAATACACTAAAATTTATTTGATGAGAACAAAAGATGAAGTCCTTTCAAAGTTCAAACTGTTTTATAATGAGATGAGTACTAAAGTTGAAGGAATCATTTCAGAATTAAGAACAGAAAATGGAACAGAGTATATAAATTCAGACTTTGCTACATTTTGTGCTGAGAAAGGTATTCTTCAAACAACTGGACCTCCGGATTCGCCTCAATTAAATGGTGTGTCTGAAAGATTTAACAGAACAATAAAAGAGAAAATAAGATGTTGTTTAATTGAATCTAACTTACCAGAAAGATTTTGGGGAGATGCTTTATTATATGCGACAGAGACTTTGAACAACATGCCGACAAGAACGAACGACAAATTTCAAACACCGATTTCATTACTGGGTATTCATGAACGTCAAGAACATACTTTCCACTCGTTTGGATGTCAAGTATGGTTTCATGTCATAAAACCAAATTCGACGCTCAAACCACGAGCACAATCAGCTATTTTTCTTTTGTATTTAATCAATAACGAAGGAGCTATAGTTTGGGATACAGAAAAGAAGTGTGCTTTAAAAGCTACTTCTTTAGTGTTCCTTGACAAAGTCTTCCCTGGACTCCAATCAGAGAATTCTTCCATGCCAAAAGATATTAACATTCTTCCTTGGCCAACACTAGATAGTGAAGAAATTACTTCGACTGATAACAACATTCAAGTATCAGAAGAAGAACTTCCTACGACAACAATTCCATCTCGTCCTATAAGAGCAAGACGTCAACCTGTTCGATACGGTGAATTTGGAAGAGCGGCCTTCATTGAATCAGAGAAGGATCCGGCAACTTACAAGAAAGCTAAGAAGTCGGTCAACTG